TCCTCGGCCTCTAAAAATTGGAAGCAAATGTATGATGATTCATGTGATTAGTCTAAACAAAGAATTTTGGGAAAAGCTGACTATACATGAGAAAAAGTTGCCTTGCACTGTAACAATTGTGACCATCTTTGAGAACACAAAAAATGGATAACTAAATTTTGTTTTTCATTAAAAGGACATAGGAAGAGCATTCAGTCATCCCCTTTCAGGAGGCAGAGACTTAGTCTTAGAAGTATTTACCATAGCGGCGACGCGTGCCCTCCCCACCCACTAAATTATTATAGCACGGAGGACATAGGATGGTTAGGAATCTCCGACAGAAAAAAATGAAATAACTTTTCGAGAAAAGGGATGAGAAATTTGTCCACGCTTGAGTCGTCCCTTTCCAAAAAACCTCATCCCATCTCACAATAGCTCATTTGCACCATTCAGCTTAAAAAGCACAACCAGCACCATCTTGCCATAAATACCAGAAAACATTTTAAAGAGTCCTTGGGATTCGGACTGTAATTAGAGCACTCCATGCGAACCTACTAAGTGAGCGTCAAATTGTTCTACCTCTTGCCGAGAGAGCGCAACGCCGCTTGCGTAGGGAAAATTCTTCCTTCTGAAGGTTGGTAATATAGTCCTTGGAACTTGGGCTTGTCGAGTGACGACAGCGCGTGGCGCATGCACCTGGAAGACCGCGTGAGGGCAAGTCCCTAGCGCCCACACCAGTTTTTTTTTTCGCGCATGCGCTACTTCTTTTGTCGTTGTATTTATTTCATAGATCACACTATAAAACGACTGTAAAGGGCGTTCTCCACCGAAAGCTCAAATATCTTAGTTTAGCGAAGGTTCTCCAGGTCTTACAAATTTGTTAATCTTCGTTTTCTTTATATTTTCATAAAGATGTAAAAACGACGGCGTCAAAAATACTTCTGAGATCCACACAGTGAAAGAAACTGAAATTTGCCTTCTCATTGACATAACACACTATTTCGATGGAACTTCTACTACTGTACCTCATGAAAAGGTAACCACATCAAACTTGATTGGAGACATTTTGTCGCGTCCAAGTTTTGCGTGCAAAATCCATGTATGTGAGGTGAGGCGTCCGCGCTTGTGCCAAATCGGCTTCGCCCCACGCGTACGAAAAAGCCAAACGTGGCTTGTCTTCTAATAGTGCTTCCCTATTTCGTACGTCAAAAGCAACGCCGGCAAACATCACCAAGATGGTGCGCCAAGACAAAAGCTCAAATTATGAAATGATTGAACTCCACAACAAGTCAAAATTCAAAAAAAAAATTAGTTCAAAAAAAACAGCTAAAAGTCAAAAAACCAGCTAAGCTATGTTAAACCTCACTAAAATAATTCCCAAATTTTAGAAGCAGAAAGCTACCTGCCCACCAGATATCGAGCGACGTTCCAATCACGATTCAGACGCTCTCTTCATCGCCACACAAAGGTTAGTGATCGCCTGGACGACGGAGCTGAACGAGTGCTAAATGCATAGCATCTCTGTAATATCCTGCATTAAATGCAATAGCATTCTATTTAGAGTAGTGGAAACAGTAACAAGAATAGACTGGTACGAATTCAAAAAAATGAAAACAGTAAGAGCAGCATAAAAGATTACAAGTACTAAGATATATTCCAGTACTCGATGACGTGCGAAGAGCGCACTGGAGTAAGGAGATTCTGGTTCTTCTCGTGTTTTCGTAATTTCTTCTTGATTAGTGGGAGTAATTTTCAAGGAAGCACTCGCAGAGCTTCTTCTGCCAGAAGTGGTAGATTTGAGCGGATGAGCGATGATGGAAGTGTTATCAGCGTCAGTGCTCACTCTCTCTGCTGGTATCAGCGGCAGCAGTCGGTGTCGAGCAAGATTGCGATTCCTGAAATCTTGCAGAACCTAAATAGTCCGAGCATCTCATTACAATAAATCTCTTGACTTTAGAAATATCCGATGTGTATGACTGAGTAAACCCCGCAACGGCTAATCCCTGAACACAGTTCTGAACTTACGATTTTGAGTGGAATTAAGTCGCGATAGGAGAATTAAAACCCACAAAACCTCAATGCTTCCGATGAAAGTTATATACCACAGTTTAAAAGAGCCTGAACAACAACATATTCGTAGGATATTCTACAGATTCACAAACAAAGAACGCGTTATATGAAACGAAAAATAAAAAATTAACGCCGTACCGTCATCTCTGGCAGTTTTCACAATTTCACAGACTCTCAGGAGGATAGATCGTTTCCTTTGAAGATGACTGGAACATAACCGAAATATATTTTTGCGTCCCTTTATGTTAATACCGGTATATATTATCCTTTCTACTTTGACATAACTCCGAATTCTGTTTGTGAAACTTATGAAAATACTCATAAATTAATTGCTGGTTCACTGACCTGTGCAAGGAAGTTAAGCGTTTTCCCGGCAGAAGCACGCTTTGGTCGATCAGGTGCGGACGCAGGCTCCGACTTTCTCATTCTTTTCACTGGAGGACCTGAACAAAGCTCTCAACATCTCACAGTCAACGTACTCAGTATAAAATCATTCTCGCGTACTTTTGTGCTCCTCAGTTATGCCTGGACTTTGATCGTTCTCGACCGAAACTGGTCTTTTCTCTATGCTAGAGGTCGATGCGGCTTCAGAACTTACTCGCCTTGGCTTTTTCCTCGAACGAACCTGGGCAAATTGAGTACAATATAAAGTAGCATTGTAACCGAATATGAGCGTACTAAATGAATATCGAACTTCTGAAATCAGGCCCTTTTTTGTACGAGAACTAGATTTGACTTCTGCGGCAAGTCGCTCAGGTTTTTTCGTCAAAGGAACCTAAATAACTTGAAATTATCTATCGCATAATATGAAAGGAAAACCAAGTAAGGTAGAATTTCGTACTTCTAAAAAGACTTCCTCAACATGGGAAGGAGACTTCACATCCAGCACCACTGACTCACTTTTCCTCTTCGAAGAGACCTGAAATATCCGTCACTTGTCTAGCGATATACCGACTTTGGACATTTCATAATTACCACATTTGTGCATTAATAGTACTCCCTCACTTGGAAAGGGAAAAGACACCAGTTACCTCTACAATTTTTGGTGACTTTATTGAAATTTGTGGTTGTGTAGCGGTGTCAGCGCTTTCTAGTTTGCCCATCCCTCCAAGTGTTCTTCGCCGTGGAAGCTTCAAAAACGAACTCTCGCAAGTCCGAATTCGTGTGAAGAAACCTTCCTTTCATAACGTACCTTGATAACTGGTAACAATGTTCTAGGCCTTTTCCTGGATTTCACAGCCACAGAGACAGTAAGTGGAGTGGGAGATGCGACAGTGAACGGAGCTGCTCCTATGTCAGCCATTCGAACATACGTCACTTTGTTATTTTCATCTTCTTCGTCTTCTTAAAACGATTTTTTTTGAAGTTGATAATCACAAAAACAAGAAAGAAAGTACCATCTGATGAGTCTGCTGCCTTGACTTCTTCTTTTACAGGGATAACATGGGTAGTCGATGTGCTCGCGCTCTAAAATATATGAATTCATGTGTATTTACAAATAATAGAAAGCTTATCATTGCGATGATATACAAGTAGAATGGTACCTGTGTTGGTGAGAAAATTGGGACGTCTTCGTCAGGTTCCGGTAATGGTGCGGCAGTTTCCTTGTACAGTATGAAATCTGAAGGGTCACTGTCCACTGAGTACTCAAGCAGAACACCTGACGTTGCATCACAGCAAATTGGAAGTTGTGACAGGCAAAACACCTAGATTAAAAAAATTCACACCCCAGAATGCCTGCTTTCTAATATGAATTCAGTCACTGCCACAACATTAACCACGCCTCACACACAGCTTTGGGAGAAAAATATTCAAAGCAGACGGTCAGACGAGATTCTAGTAGAAGTAAAAGTCCTGAGACGGATCTATAGGCCACAGACTACTCCACACATTAATGGAAGCATGCCGTATTACTGCTCAAACCATACAATTTTTTCCATAGCCCTTGCTGTTGTTCAATAAACCACTCAACTGTATAAAAAAAACCAATTGTACAGTAGCTAGCGCTGTTGCGCAAACTAGCTGCTACTGACTGTGTTCTTTTAGTTCTCTATTATTTTTCTATGAATTTTTTGTTTCAAACGATTTGCCGAACTACGAGCGAGCACTTACATATAGCATTGCCACAGCAACAAATGGCTTCCTATTGCATGAAACCGCCCATTCCTCATGATCGGTGTCACGGATTTGACTTGTAGTTAGAAATTGTTTCACACTCATACTGATATTGATCAGGGTGCTTAGAAGAATAAATGCGCAGCAGTACGAAACCCCATCTGGTCCTCCGGCTTGATGTTAAGAGCATTGCTGCGCAGCAAGGAAAACCGACCCAATTCCGCCACCCAGAGTTCCTCCTCAATTGCCGTCGCGCGGAGAGAACGGGGGGAGGGTGAGGAGGGGTACGCAGATGAGTAATAAAACAACTTTTCCATACACGCCTCTATTTCACTCTCTTACCTATGCTTAACAACAATATCCATGCCCCCCCCCCCACCACACAGACAACCAGCAAAACAAATTACACAACAGCCTTTTCCCAAAGAATCCTCAACCCTTGTTCACCCTGAAATAGAGTGAATTCTCGGCTCCCTTTGATCAAAAGCCTACTTAGAAATCAAGTCTGCCGCCTTGTACATCAACACTTCCCTTTCGAGTCCGTAACAACTCTCGTCTTTCGCACCAAAGTAGTAAACGACAAAAGCTATCGCAAAACATGCCATTTTATTCTTTTCTGATTTATTCAGCTGCTTGGCTTTATTCTGTAGCAGAGCAGCAATACTTTTGAGTTTGGTCCGATTTTCAGGCGATGGGGAGTACCTGAAATGAAGGAAGGTCATGTCAAAATGAATGTAAAGAAGAAATATGTGAGGAATAGCTACTACGCACCGGCGAGCCATGGAAAGGCGGGGACGAGTTGAAGAACTCGGTTTCGAAAAAAGCGCAGAGCCCTCATATTCCGTAGTTTCTTGAAGGAG